AGATCAAAGGTCACTAGTTCACTCAGATTTATGGAAACAACTCATGTTCACCGATGCTAACAGGCTGAAGCTAAAGCTAGCTGTACGTTCTAGCATGTTCTACGTCATGACGTTTCATACGTTGCTATGGTCACGAAAACATGTTTTTGTTTGAATCTTTCATTTTTAGAATCGTACATGTCATTTTATTAGTTTTAAAATTTTCGATGTAAAATTTAACTAAATGGGTTTGCTGAAACCAAATTAGTGGTTTTCTTCTAACGGTTCTCTCTAGTCTGATATAGTCATCCCACCGACCTGCTGGGACCCTCAAGATGCTGAGGCTGTGTGATGACGTTGAGTCACAGGTCGGTGCTAATGTGAGAAACCTTTTGTCTCTATCCCGCTAAAAGAACCACATATTCAGCTTTTATTTTGCTTGCCCAGCTGACAAAAACCAACAGGCGCTCCTCGCGCTCACTCTCACCTCGCTGCCGTCCATCCTCTTTTATATCAATAATACAAAAGAAACCGACATGCCACAACAAAACTAGTAAAAACATTTGATGTGTTCAAACTGTTCCAGGGGAATTTGAGCCTCACTTGTCCACAGAAAACATGTTTCACCTCCATAAAACACCAAATCTCCTCTCGTCTCCTTCCGCCTATCCGTGTCCGGGTCGCGAGGGCAGCATCCCAACTAGTTCCACACCGTCCTCTCTCCGGCCACCTCCACCAGCTCCTCCGGCAGGACCCCAAGGCGTTCCTGGGCCAGTTCGGATATGTACTTTCTCCAACGTGTCCTGGGTCGTCCAGGGGGCCTCCTGCCAGCAGGACATGCCCAAAACACCTCACCAGGGAGGCGTCCAGGAGGCATTCTAACAAGATGCCCAAACCACCTCAACTGACTCCTCGATATGGAGGAGCAGCGGCTCTATTCCGAGTCTCTACCGAATGTCCGAGCTCCGCACCCTATCCCTAAGGCTGACCCAGCCACCCCGCAGAGAAAACTCATTTCGGACGCGCGATCGTGTCCTTTCGGTCATTACACAAAGCTCATGACCATAGGGGAGGACTGGGCGGTAGATCGACTGGTAAACCGAGAGCCTTGCTCTCCGGCTCAGCTCCTTCTTCCCCACAACTGACCGGTTCAGCGGCCGCATCACTGCAGACGCTGCCCCAATCCGCCTGTCGATCTCGCACCCTCATCTCTGCTTTATGCGGACGATGTGGTCCTCCCAACTTCATCAGGCTCCGACCATCAGCTCTTGCTGGGGAGGTTCGCAGCCGAGTGTGAAGAGGCTGGGATGAGGATCCTCACCTCCAAGTCTGAGACCATGGTTCTCGATCGGAAAAGAGCGTTTGTCAACTCCAGGTCGGTGGAGAGGTCCTGCCTCAAGTGGAGGAGTTCAAGTATCTCGGGGTCTTGTTTACGAGTAAAACACCAAATGTGATTTTAAAACACACATTCGGTCTTCCAAATACACGAATTTAACATTACAATAATGTTTCAGTAGTTTGTCCTTTAGGAAACATGAAATGATTCAGATGGAGAATTTAACTGATGTTAGCTTACCGTGCTCCTCCCGGAAGGACATCTCCCTGGTAGGTTGGTTCTCGGGTCTTCTTCAGCTAGCCACAAACTTCTTCAGCGATTTCTGCTCTGCAGAGGCTCTCCAAGCTCGACCAAGTGCTGCTCTAGCGCAAGTTCGAATGAAAGACTTTTAAAAATTCGATGAGCTTTTATAGACGAGCAACGTTCTAATTCTATGACGTATACACGCACATGCGTGCAACAGATTCCTAACCTGTCTCTTTGCAGCAGGTGCACCCATAGACTGTACATGCCCGAGGGGTCTCTCAGTCCTCTGGTGGACAGAAGCTATTACTGCAGCTGTTTTCGAACGGTCACTTAGCTAATTATGTAATCGCAGTGAGGACTTTTAATGCCGTTGTGCTTTTGTAATGTCCAGTTTGAACACATCAGATGTTTTGGATTCAAACAAAAACATGTTTTTTTCGTGACCATAGCAACGGATGAACCAGGTATGAAACGTCATGACGTAGAATGTACAGCTAGCTTTAGCTTCGGCCTGTTAGCATCGGTGAACATGAGTTGTTTCCATAAATCTGAGTGAACTAGAGACCTTTGATCTTTAAGGACTTCACCTGTTTTATCCAAGTAGAAAGTTTGATGTGTTCTGAGTTGGTTCTCAGGTTTATAAATGCATTTATGTCCGTTTAAATATATTTTAAACACTTTTCACCAGTTTAATGAGTCTTCTGTTTATTTTTATAGAGCCCATTTTAAAACAACTTTATTTGAGCAGTGCTGTGTCTACAAGCTGTAAAACATTACATCTTTTTAGAAATACATCAGCTATAAATATGAAACATAAATAAACAACCACATAAATTAAAAATGGAAACTTTTTCAGTAAAAGCAGAACTCGGTTTTAACCTGTTAAACCCCAAAAACAACCAGATTAGTAAAGTGTGTCTTGTGCACACATGCAGATGCAGACACACATCTCTTGTATTGTAAACAAGTCATTGTAGCTTTTTCATAACTGCTTTATGACACAAGTGGATTTAATGTGTCTTGTTTTGTCCTCACAGGCATCTTCATCGTGGAGCGTCCCACGACTGCAGGGGCCCCTGAGGTCATCCGGATTCTCGATGAAGATGAAGGTAGGTACCCAGCCCTTCACATTCCTGATGATGATGTGGTGTTTGTGGGTCATGGTCAGGCTCCTCCAGTAGAGGCAGAGCGTGCTATTGAGGGTCTGTGGTCAGCTTTAGAAAGTTTTATGGCTTCTAGTGTGCACACTGGTTATGGTAGCTCAGGTCTGGATGGAGATGAAGACCAGCAGCTTCCACCACTAGAAGACTTCTGGCTGGCGGTAGCTCCTCCAGCCCCGCCGGAAGAGCTTCCAGAAGATCCCAGGCCTGCCCACGGGAGCGCTGAAGAGGTCCAGGATGTAGAAGAACCCACTCCTTCTACCTCGGTCCTTGGATCCAGCCAGAAGAGGACTGGAGAGTGCTTCCCGTACATCCCACTGAAGAGACCAAGATGGGACAACTCCGACTCGGACTAGAGATATATTTTTTTTTTCCAGTGCAGCACCACTGAAGATCATTTCTTTCTTTCTTTCTTTCCTGAACTGGTTGACTGGAAACATTTGTCTCAGGTAGCTTGTTGCACCAGGACTGTTTTTTACCAGGTCACCAGATGTTTGTTTTAGTCACCAAGTGTTTTATCAAGTCAGCTGAACTGGTGATGTCTTAGGTAGCATCTGGCACCAGGACGTCTTCATCCGTTGGCTGAGTTTAGTGTTTTATTATTTAAGAAGTGTGTTTTTAGAGCTGGTAGAACTGGAGATGCTGATGTGGACGGTTTCACCTGGGCTTCTGTGTCTGGTTGCTAAATCTTCTATTTTATTTGGGTCCTGAGAGGATTTCCTTTTCATCTGATGGAGCAGGCAGTCTGGCTTAGGGTCACACACACACACACACACGCACACACACACACGCACATACATACATATATATTAGTATATGATATTCTAACGTTCACTAAAAGATGTAAGCCTGGAACACAAGAGGCCATCGAAGCAAACAAGATCCCACCTGAGATGGATGGTGAGAGGTGGTAGAAGATAAACAAGAGACCAAGGAGGGCAGGAAGATGGAGGCAAAACTACAACTACAGTGATGCTTCTGATAATCTGGTAGAGCAGATAGAGCAGGTCTTAGTGAGACATGGGACGTTTACTTGGTGACATGAGCATAAGCTGATGGTGATCTTTGATCCGTATGAAAGACAAGGACGATAACATCATCTTCATCATGTCCTTTCTGTTTCACTAACTGTTCTGTCACAAGAAACTGTTCTAAATAATCTGTAGAAGCGTTTGATTCCAGGTTTAGGAGGAGCTCTCCGTGTCTGTTTGTGTCCTCACGTCCTGCTGGACTGAGCTTCTCTGGGCTTTGTGGTCCTGCAGGAACCAGGAAGGAGCTGAACAGCAGAGCTCTGACACAGACGGAGCAAACAAAGGTTTTAGTGTTTAAATGTGCACGCGTTTAAAAATAGCTCTTTACAAAAGTTAAACTAAAATATTAAAGGCTAATAAAATATAGTCTAAACATGTAAATGATTAAAATTAACTTGAATATTTTAACAAGTTACTTTGCGGTTAAATTAAAGCAATAAAGACTCCGATTATTTACATTCAACATAACTTTAAGATTCTCCGCAGAACAAAATTACGATGCGTTTGACCGCGACTAAAGAACGGATAAACATCGTAAAAGAACGAGAAGTTAACGAAAAGCGTAAAAGTCAAAGGAGGCTCTAAATCTGTAAAACGTTTATAAAATACTAAAATGAATTTAATTAGAAATAATTTTTTAGTCTGACGGTTTCTTTTTTCCTGCTTCAAGACAGAATTTATGTTCCAACATTAAATGCTGTGTTGATGCAGGTTTTGCTTTACCGTCTCGCGTCGCCCAAAGCAAAAGGCTCTGGTAACGGAACTCTCAGTAATGAGACGGGGTTCGATTCCCTGCAGGGCCTGCTGCTTATGCCGACTGAGACTAACGCTGTTTCACTACACGTTACCATCTACATAAAGATAAACTAGGCTCAGTTATTCATTTTAAGGAATTTTGTCATAAATCATCATAAAAATCTAAATTCCTCTAAACAGTGAAGAGCTGTTTGTCATACGTCACTAAAAAGATTTCTTACAGGGCAGCTCATGCCGCTAGTACGTCGTGATTAGCTGTATTTTAATCAACTTCATATTCAATAATTACAGAAAATTATGTTTACAGTTGCAGCAAAAAGTCTGAACCCTATGTCGGAGTCCTACACACATTGTAACTAACGGTTTGACCTAAAATAATAACCTAAATCTATCTGGAACCGCTACCGGTCCTTCTGCACTCCAGACGAGTCCCGTTAGCATGACTGCAGCAACACAGCTAACTGTGTTAGCAAGGGGAAAAGTAATTTGGAAAGCTACGACACACTCACACAGATAAGATCTAAAAGAAGAGCCACATATTTCAACAATAGATCCTCCAGAGACCGGTAGAACCTCAGAACCATCCTGGATTACTACAAACACAAGCTAGCGAGCTACTGCAGCATCCCAGTCAGGAGGAATTATTCTGCTGATCTGTCGATTAAGTTTGTTCTGGAGTTATTTCAATATAAACACGCAGCGGTTCAACTGGCAGCACGTTCTTTTATCTATAGATTAGTGAATTATATTGGGACGGTATGTGTCACGGTCTGGGGGTGTCATCTTTCTCTGATTTACTTTTTGAGCTTCCTTTCCTCTGCAGGTGGGCGTGTCCGGTTGTGGGGAAGTTGCTAGCAGCTGCAAGCAATCCACTCATCACCTGCCAGGGGATATTTAAGCACCTGAGAGGCGGCTTCACTTTGCTGGATGATTAACTCTACTTGGGTACTCAACTAACAGCCGAACAACTTGTATCTCCTAGTGATTTGACTTTTATCTGGATTTTGAGCTCTTCATGATTTTTGACCACTTGTCTTCCTACCTTTTCACCCAGACATCCTGTTACAATAACTACCTGGTCAACCTGCCATTCGCCTCTCAGCGTCCTCCCATGGTCTCCCCCACGCCGGCTCCCCACCTTCCTCCTGGATCTCCTGCTCAGTAATTGCTCAGCTCCCTCCTCGCCTGGACTCTCAGCTTCCTCTAACTCAGTAAGCCATCTGCTTCACCCCCAGACCAGACAACCAACCTCTCCCGAACATTCTAACTGAACCTTCAGACCGTAAGTCTTAACTGATCCATTATTCCCATTTTTCTGCAACCAGTCCTGACATTTTTTCGTCCTTCAGACTCCCCCCACCGGATCCCAGCAGTCCAGCCTGACATTTTGTTCCTGCAATTTCTCCTTTATAATAAATCATTATTTAACTCTAATTCTGACTTGTGGATTGATTCTGTATGTCGTGGGTTAGGCATATACCACCGACCATGACAGAATCATCCAGCCAACAACCTAACCTCAGTACAGAATCTGTTGCTGAAACTTTGTCACAACACAATTTGACCCTGCAATCCCTGTCTGAACAACTATTCAGTACTAACCAAGCTCTGTCTCAATTAGGCGCTATGATGAAACAACTAAACGATCAACTCACCCGCCTGGAACCCTCTGTTCCCGTAGCTCCGACCCCGCCCGGACCCACTTCACCGGTACCATCCGGCCCATCCAACTTCCGGGTCGCCTTGTCTCCTCCACCGGAGACATTCGACGGAGATCGGAGCTCATGTAGAGGCTTTCTCCTCCAATGCAGCTTGGCGTTCCAACGCTCCCCGGAGTCTTTTGTTACAGACGCAGCTAAGATATCTTACATAGTGGGGTTGCTGCGCGGCAGGGCTCTCAGATGGGCGGAAGCCAGGAGCCGTTCCCCGACCTTTCTCACAGGTATGTTTTCCGAGTTCATTTCCGAGTTCAACCTGACGTTTGATAAATCTGAGCCCGCTTCTGAGATAGCCAAACGGCTTTGGAGCCTCCGCCAAGGGAGGCAACATGTGTCTGACTTTGCCATTGAGTTCAGGACCCTGGCCTCCGCATCCACCCTTGATGAGGAGTCCTTAAAGGGAGCGTTCTCACAGGCCCTAAACGAGCGCCTCCAGGACCAACTAGCGTACTGCCAGGAGCCAGAGACTCTAGAGGCTCTTATAGCACTCTGCAACCGGATTGAGAGGAGGTTAAACGACCGGCATAGAGGTAACCACTCATACCTTACCCCATCTCCACACACTCAGCTCCGGGTTGCTCAGCCGGCACCGCCCTCACCACCCAGCGAACCCATGCAGTTCGGTCGGGCAAAACTAACCCCAGAAGAACGCAATCAGAGGATGAGGTCTGGTCTTTGTTTATATTGCGGCCTAGCCGGCCATTTTGTCTCTACCTGCTCCAAGGCTTTAAACTCCAGGGCCCACCAGTAGGACCTAGAATTCTGGTGGGCGGCTCATCTGATCTAGCTATTTCCCGTTGTGCCCTAGACTGTTCCTTAACATACGAGCACTCCTCCATAGCCACTCAGGCGTTGATAGATTCTGGGTGTGAGCAAAACCTACTTGACCCTAAGATCATAAAACAGCTCAGCATCTCCATCATCCCTCTCGAGGTTCCAACCAGGGTGGTCTCTCTGGACGGTAGCCATCTTACTTCTATAACCCACATGACGGTCCCTGTTCGTCTCTCTGTTTCTGGAAATCACCATGAATCTTTAACCTTTTTTGTTTTTCCCTGCCATCAGTCACCCATCGTCCTGGGGCATCCGTGGTTAAGGCTCCACAACCCCCGCGTAAACTGGGTTTCTAACGTAGTGGAGGAGTGGAGTGATCAATGCCATGTCACCTGTTTGGGCTCAGCTAGAACCCGTCCCATCCTCAAGGCTCCAGCTCTCCCACCACCGGACCTCACCGGCGTTCCAGAGGAGTATCATGACCTTCAGCAGGTATTCTCTAAAGATAAGGCTTGCTCTCTACCGCCCCACAGGAGTTTTGATTGTGCAATTGACCTGTTTCCTGGAGCTCCTCTCCCGTCTAGTCGACTGTACAACATCTCCAAACCTGAACGACAATGCATGGAGAAATACATATCTGAGTCACTCGCTGTTGGAATCATTCGACCATCCACGTCTCCCCTTGGAGCTGGGTTTTTCTTCGTCTCCAAGAAGGATGGGACCCTTCGGCCCTGTATCGACTACCGGGAGCTTAATAAGATCACAGTAAGAAATAAATATCCATTGCCCTTGTTGTCCTCAACATTTGAACCCATACAGGACGCCTCTGTTTTCACCAAACTCGACCTGAGGAACGCATACCACCTCGTCCGTATAAAGGAGGGTGATGAATGGAAGACGGCGTTCAAGACACCGATAGGACATTTCGAGTACCTTGTGATGCCGTTTGGGCTCACCAACGCCCCGGCCGTTTTCCAGACACTGGTGAACACAGTTTTGGCTGGTTTTGTAAATAAGTTTGTCACGATTTACCTTGATGATATTCTGATCTTTTCGAGGACCCCGGAGGAGCATTCCAGACATGTTCGAGCTGTGCTCCACCGCCTGCGGGAGAACCGCCTCTACGTCAAGGCAGAGAAATGTGAATTTCACGCCCCCACTGTAAAGTTTTTGGGTTTTGTCCTGGAGAGTGGGAGACTGGGGCCTGATCCTGAAAAGGTCCAGGCGGTCCGGGACTGGCCCACCCCTGCCACATGTAAAGAGCTGCAACGCTTCTTGGGGTTTGCCAATTTTTATAGATGTTTTATTAAAGGATTCAGCCAGATGGCCGCACCCCTGACACAGTTGACATCTATAAAGAAATCTTTTGTTTGGGACTCCACTGCCGAGAGGACGTTTGCGGCTCTCAAGGACAGATTTACCCGAGCACCAGTCCTCACCAGACCAGACCCCTCTCAACAGTTCACCCTCGAGGTGGACGCATCTGATGCTGGTGTGGGGGCCGTGTTGTCCCAGGTTTCTCCCTCTGACCACCGTCTCCACCCCTGTGCCTTTTTCTCCCGACGTCTATCCCCGGCCGAGAGGAATTATGATGTGGGAGACCGGGAGCTCCTGGCCATCAAACTCGCCCTGGAGGAGTGGAGGCACTGGTTGGAGGGAGCTGAGCACCCCATTATCATATGGACTGACCACAAGAACCTCGCCTATCTGAAGGAGGCAAAGAGGCTAAACCCCAGGCAGTCCAGATGGTCTATGTTTTTCTCACGTTTCCATTTCATCCTCTCTTACAGACCCGGAACCAAGAACGTAAAACCCGACGCCCTCTCTCGACAGTTTTCAGCTGACTCTAACTCCGAACCCGCCACCATTCTCCCTCCTGACTGTGTAGTTGGCTCTATAACTTGGGAGATCCGAGATCAGGTACTCGAGGCGCTCAAGACCACTCCTGGTCCAGTCAAGGTACCCCTCAACACTCTTTTCGTTCCTCCGTCTGTTAGACACAAGGCCATCCACTGGGGTCATACTGCCAAATTCTCGATCCATCCAGGGGTTAGTCGCACAGTAGCCCTTATCAGACATTTTTTTTGGTGGCCCACTATGTTTAAAGACACAAAGGAATACATAGCCGCTTGCCACGTCTGTGCCCGTAGTAAAGCCAGTAATCAGCCTCCCCCCGGTTTGCTTAACCCATTACCCATCCCTTCCAGGCCATGGTCCCACATCGCTTTGGATTTTGTAACAGGCCTGCCATCCTCCCGAGGCTTCTCTGTTATCATGACAGTCGTGGACCGGTTCTCTAAGGCTTGTCACCTCGTCCCCTTAAAGGCTCTCCCCTCAGCTTCCGAAACTGCCACTCTGCTCACCAGACATGTTTTCAGGCTGCATGGAATCCCTATTGAGATCCTTTCGGATCGAGGTCCCCAGTTTGTCTCCAGAGTCTGGAGGGACTTCGCCACCTGCCTCGGGGCCAAGGTCGCCCTCACCTCCGGGTACCACCCCCAGTCCAATGGTCAATGCGAAAGGATGAACCAGGAACTGGGGGCCATGCTTCGTTGCCTTTGTTCGTCCAACCCCTCCAACTGGAGTGTTGAATTACCCTGGGTCGAGTATGCCCACAACTCTCACATCTCATCCTCCACCGGTTTGTCACCTTTCGAAGTTTCACACGGTTTTCAACCCTGCTTGTTCCCTTCCGAGTTTCCCTCCTCTGTAGTCTCCGTCCCCCAGTTCCTGAGGCGCACCAAGCGCACGTGGTCAGCTGCGCAGAAGGCTCTGCAGAGGACTGCCGCCCGCAACCAGCGCCTGGCTGATCGACGCCGTAGGCGGGCCCCAGACTATGCGCCTGGTCAGCGCGTCTGGCTGTCAACCCGAGACATCCCTCTCAGGGATCATTGTAGGAAGTTGTCTCCCCGGTACATCGGCCCCTTCACTGTCTCCTCCGTTATAAACCCCTCTTCCGTTCGCCTGGAGCTGCCCTCTCATATGAAGGTTCACCCCGTTTTCCATGTTTCCCTCCTTAAACCTGTCTCCTCCAGTCCTCTCTGTCCTCCTCCTCCGGATCCGCCTCCTCCTGTTCAGTTGGCTGATGGGGGTCTCGGTTTCCGGGTTCGGCGTCTCCTGGACGTTCGGCGCCGTGGCCGTGGTCGCCAATACCTGGTGGAATGGGAGGGCTACGGGCCCGAACACAGGCAATGGGTGCCTGGGTCTTGGATTGTGGACCCCTCGCTCGTCCGGGATTTCGAGGCGGCCCGGGCTGCCTCCTCCTCCTCCTACGCCTCCTCTGTCTGGACGCCGGGTGGCGTCCCTTGAGGGGGGGATACTGTCACGGTCTGGGGGTGTCATCTTTCTCTGATTTACTTTTTGAGCTTCCTTTCCTCTGCAGGTGGGCGTGTCCGGTTGTGGGGAAGTTGCTAGCAGCTGCAAGCAATCCACTCATCACCTGCCAGGGGATATTTAAGCACCTGAGAGGCGGCTTCACTTTGCTGGATGATTAACTCTACTTGGGTACTCAACTAACAGCCGAACAACTTGTATCTCCTAGTGATTTGACTTTTATCTGGATTTTGAGCTCTTCATGATTTTTGACCACTTGTCTTCCTACCTTTTCACCCAGACATCCTGTTACAATAACTACCTGGTCAACCTGCCATTCGCCTCTCAGCGTCCTCCCATGGTCTCCCCCACGCCGGCTCCCCACCTTCCTCCTGGATCTCCTGCTCAGTAATTGCTCAGCTCCCTCCTCGCCTGGACTCTCAGCTTCCTCTAACTCAGTAAGCCATCTGCTTCACCCCCAGACCAGACAACCAACCTCTCCCGAACATTCTAACTGAACCTTCAGACCGTAAGTCTTAACTGATCCATTATTCCCATTTTTCTGCAACCAGTCCTGACATTTTTTCGTCCTTCAGACTCCCCCCACCGGATCCCAGCAGTCCAGCCTGA